TAAGGTTCAGTAGTCCTTGAGAAATACCCCGATCGAATCCACGTCAAAAAACTAGTTAAAACTGAGGTCAAACTTACGCGCAGAAACAGCACGAGCTCAAATGACCTCACTTTATCAACACAAAGTAAACAACTGAACGTGCCGTAAAACAAATTTGACGGTGGTATACCGTTTGAGAAAAATAAATATTGAGTCTGACTGACCGGTCTTCACTGAATCATTGTTTGCCAAATACCGAATACGGAGCATTATGTGTCTCGGTTGTTCGCATTGATAATCAATTTAAGAAGTTGTGAAATATCTCTACCAATCACATCTTGCTTTCTCATGTCATTTCTAAAAAGGAATTTATTCATACACAGACCAATGGAGGACCGAACTGAAGAGAACTGTCCATCTGTTTTTAAGCCTTGTTGAGCGTAATCTATCATATTATTGTACGAACCCAGCTGGGGAGCGAACCTGGGACACCACAGGTAGGACGCGAGCACACTACTCACTTGAACACCGGGCAGCTGACCAGACCGTTTTACTTTATACATACATTGAGAGCATAGTTCAGCTGATTTGCATAAGTATCATCATTTCAGCACCAACTGAGCCTTTAGGCACTATGACAAAAAAGTGACTAGCGGATTCAAAGTCTTACTCGAACCACAAGTGCTGTTTCATTTTTTATGATTGACCTTATTGTATCTAGGCAAATAATGGAAAAATGAATGATTGGCTTCAAGATAAAATGTCAACCAGCGCCTCCACCTTAAATGTGTTTCGATTATTCATAATAAGGTAGGTAAGGTGGAACAAATTCGATTCGTCGAAATTGTGTTATGATCATTTTTTTTCTGGATCCATCCAGACTTATTGATAATAACATAACAGAGTGTACGAACTTATGCACTTCCCGAGATTTTGACTCAAGATTCAAGGGAATGAAATTAGTGTGTGTATGTAGAGGAAACCTGAAGGATGGCCAGTGGAATTCCATATCGAGCACATTCCAAGGTGAACAGAGCACTTTGGGTGACATTCCAACAAGAAGCGGTGCACACGGTGTTAATCTAAAACCATTTTTCTATGATTGTTTATCAGTATTTGTCCAACTTAGATTGTTTAGCACATAGGAGTGCTATGAATTGTGAGAAGTTTAAAAGTCTCGATGGGATTCGAACCACACATGGACGTCGCCTAGGCTCTGTACTCTAGCGGCTGGTCTACGAGGTCCCACATTTCGATGACCGACTCAGTTGTTTGATTTCACAGAAAATCTGATTTTCTTCGAAAATGTATGTCAATAACCGCAATCTAGATGTGTCTACAATCTCTGACACAGGTGTGTGAAAATATATAACACTCGAAATTTTTGGTTTGATTTCACAATGGAGTAATAACAACTCCACATCTATATGTAGATCGGAATATTTGGTGAGCGGCATACGTCTTCAGCGTTGTAACCTAATGCTCGTGTTGGAACCCTTCCTGATCTCATGCTTAATGTCTGGCCGCAACCCCCTTTCTGTACATTTCGTTTGCACAGGTCATTTCAGAAGTACTTACATTTTAGTAATTATTTCTGAGTTTAAGATCATAGATTTACGCAAAAACGCATTAAGGTACGCACCATTCATGACCTTCAAGGTAGTCACCATGTACGCCCCCAAAAGAGCTGGTTCCTTGAATAGGCGTGGCGTATACGACTGATTTGACCTGACTTGATCGGGCAGTACTAACTGCCTTAAGATGTATGTTGAATGAATTCTATTTTTGACTCTTTCCCAGTACATCGAAATTGATAAATAGCAGATGACAAAGCGTGCAATCACGTTGGAACTATATACGACATTTCCAACTTAGAAGCATAAATGACAACGGTGTGTTAACCCGATTCCCGATGAAAACAATCAGAATGGTAACTGTAACGTTTTCGTGAGCTACGAAAAGTGTTCAGCAAACAATACCACGTCCAACGTGGGTTTATAAGTAAACTATGTTGAAAATTGAATAAGTTACTCAATTCCTCCTCATTCACAATGTTATCAATATGGAGCTTATTCTACTAAAATGAAGAACGCAACACTTAGGTGAGCACATGTTTTAGGTGAACTCCATTTCAAGCCTTTACAATCACATTTATATCAAACAATTTCAGTGGGGTCAAATAGAG